TGCCAGGTGAAATGCGCCATCCAATTGTGAACTTCTTTGGCTGTGGAATAATGTTAACGTTTTGCGCCCCGAAAAAACACCAAAAACAGCCCAAAAAACGGCTGATGGCTTATTAATTAAATATGTGCTAATGTGGCTTGGCTTATCGGACCCTTGCAATCTCCCGCGATCGCTCCCGGTCACCGTCCAGATGGCGCATCGCGCATCAATATTCATCGCGCGATCTTTTCGCGACCTCGCAAATCTCTTCCGGCCGCCAATGTGTTTCCCGCACACACCAAGGGGGGGAGAATTTGCCTGAAAATCTGTACACAACTTCTGCAGAATCTTCAACACTTCTTAGCGCCACCTTAAATGCATTTTCCAATGTTTATTCTTCAGAAAATGCTTGAAAAACAATTCTGACTAAATTGTGAGGTTATGAATTTTGCTTAAAAATATGTTTGAAGCCTGAAAATGACTTGAAAATGGCAAATTTTACAATGTTTCCAATAAATTTTGATGTTAAAAAAAAGAAAAAGAATTTTCGTTGACATTTTTGAGGTTATGATTGATTTTTAAGCTCTTTTCTAAACCTAAAGGGAAAAATTGTTCTGTTAAACACAAATTAGATGATTTTTTAGAGTTATTTTATGATTTTCATGTCCCAGAATTTGTTTATGGACAATTTCTATCTTGATTTTCATAGTTTAATCTTCAGGAAATGCTTGAAAAAATATCTTGATAAAATTGTGAGGTTATGAAAGTCGACTTTAGAACCTTTTTTCAACTAATTTAAATCCTTTTCAACCCTTTTTACAATTTTTCTACTGGATTGAATCGATACTAAACCGAGAAAAGAGGCTAAAATGACATTTTTGAGGTTATGTTTGTTTTTTTAAGCTTTTCTATAACCTAATCTTAAGTTCTTTCGAACGCAAATGCTAAAAATTCACAGAGAAAATAAGAAATATTTGCAGTTTCATCAGAAATTTGATGATTTTGAAGGTTATTTTATCACATAACCTAAAAACAAAGAGAATTAATTGATTTTTCAACGTAAAATAATTTAGAAAATGTTTCAATTTTGTTGAAATGGAAGCTTTTGCAGTGAAAATATTCTTTTGCAGTGAAAACTGCGAAAATAACCAAGGCAAAGAGACATTTTTCCTGCAATTTAAGTGATATTTTTGAGGTTATGTTTGACTTTAAGGCTTTTTCTCAGTCAATTTGAAGTTTTTTGCGCACAAAAATGCTCAAATCTGCCAAGAAACAGAGAAATGTGATAATTTTATCTGTTTTAAGTTAAACATAACCTCAAAAAAGCAATAAAATCGATTTTTAAGCGTTGCAAGAAGCTTATTTTGCATGGGAATCGATAAGATATCTTAGAGATTATGTTCGGAAAGGTTGTTTAAATGAAATTCTGTGAAATTGTTAGACAAAGCAGCCAATGAAGTAGAAATTTTCTGTCGTTTTTTTCCTGCTGAGGCTGTTGTATAAGATGGCGGCAGTCGCCACTCGAAGATTTAACTGAAGTAATATTGTAAAAAGGACTGAATTTGAGCTTAAATTCAATTCACTTCAATAACTTGAATTTATTCTGCGTGAAAACCAAAGGAAATCCAAAGAATTGGCACATTTTTTATCAGTAAAATAAGCACTCATAAGAGGAATATTGCAGATTATTATTATTATTATCTCTCCCTTGATCTTCATCGCGCGATCTTTTTGTGGTCTCGCAAATCTCTTCCGGCCGCCAACGTGTTTCCGGTGCACAAACACAAGCGCCATAAATCATCGCTCCGCAAGGAGAAGAGATCACTCTGGCCAATGGAGATTTGCTCCCTGGAGACGCTCTCATGTGAGGTCAACAATTAAAAGATAATTTATTAGGCTGTGAACACACAGCCGTGGAAGGCCGTGCAAGAGGCAAAAAGGTCTGCCGAAAGAAAAAGATGATAAACTAACCTTTGGTGTCCAGGAAGCGATTGGCAAACGCTCAACAATTTGGCTTGATTGTCAAACAAAGTGTTGTAGTTTTTAATTTGCCAAAAGGATTAAGAGATTTTCAGTAAGGAAGAAGAATAATAATAATTTTCATTTCATCTATTCTACAAACGAGTATATTTCTCAATATTTCATGAAAATTTGATTATTATTTAAATATTTCTTTATTATTTCCTGATTATTTCATTAAAAATTAATTATTTTATACAAATTTTTATTTTTTGTACATTTCACCAAATTTCACCAAGAACGTAAAGAACCGAAAACGGTGGATTTTTATAGATTTTCCTGCAGGAATCCTGCAGGAAATTCCACCATAATTCCTGCATGAACGAAAAGGACCGTAAATGGCGGATTTGTGTCGGATTTTCCTGCAGGAATCCTGCTGGAAATTCTACCAAAGACGTAAAAGACCTTAAACTGCGGAAACTTTTTGATTTTCCTGCAAGAATGCTGCTGGAAATTCCAATTCCATTGGCGGAATTGCGGTAGAATTCTCTCGCAAAATTCCAGCAGTAATCCGCCATGGCAAATCTCTCATCCCGGCGCTTCCAGCGTCTCAGCCACTCAGAAAAAGAGATTTTGCCTGCCGGATTCCTGGTGGAATCTTGCAAAAGGCTTCCAGGGTTTTTCGGCTTTCTAAATGAGAGATTCTGCCTTGAAGATTCCTGGTGAAATCTTGCAGGAGGATTCCAGTGCTTTTCCGGCCTTCGGGAAGAGGAATTTTGCCTACAGGATTCGTGATGGAATCCTACAGGAAGCCTCCGGCATTTGTACGGCCTTTAAAGTGAATTTGAATTCGGGATTCCTGAAGGAATCTTGCAAGATTCGTCCACCGTTTGTCTCCCCGTTTAGTGAAAAGGGATTTGGCTTTAAGGATTCTTCAGAGGAATCCCGCAGTTCATTTTCAGATGGTGGATTTGACGGTGGATTTTCCTGCAGGAATCCAGCAAAGCATAATTTGGACTCTGGAGCCAACATGATGGAAAAATCGGTGGAAAAACGTCGGATAGTGGATTGGTTTTTACTGGGTATCCTTTATCATCCTTAAGCTAAATGCCTTCCTTGGTAATATTTTCACCATATTGACTTGAGTCTCGAGGTGAGCAGAAATAATTTTGTGAAGCTATACAATGTATAAAAGGGCAGCCAATTCTTATGCATTGAATAACCTTAAAGTTAAGCAATTTTCCACCACAAAATTACAACCTTTTCACCCTTTACTGATTCTTGAAAAGAGAAAAGAAAGGAAACAAAATTTTTTGAAAGCATCCGCTGATCTTTCATTGAAGATGTTTGCGTCGTACTTTCAATCTTACAAACAATAAACGAGATTTTCAAGGGGCAAATCATAACGAAAATTTAATGTTTTCTAATCAAATAATCCAATTAGGGGTAAGTGGGGCAGCTTCAGATTCAAAATGCTGTTCCAACTTTAGGATTTTTTCTTGAAAAATCGGCTGAATATATTGAAATGATCACAACGCTCAAATAAACTCTCGTCTGTTGAGCTTCAGAAAATGCCTTTCATTGGGCATTAAAACTGATCCTTTTTCCTCTAAAAGAGGAATGAAAATAATATTGTAAATAATCTGAAACTGCCCCGCACGGGGATGTTTCGGATTGCTCTGGGGCAGCTTCAGATTTTCACTTATATTTACCTTAAATTCCATTGTGGAATTGTCGAATCGCGGACAAATGATCACTTTGAAATCTCTTCTACACACTGACACTGTTTATTTCGCTAAAAATCGCCTTTAAATTACTATTTTCGCGACTTTTCTGGACCCTTGCACGACATGAGAAATTTTATTGACGGAAAGCCATATTTCCCATATGGCAACCCCGCAAAGTGTCAAATGTGAGAACTAGCAGCGCTGCCAGTGCCGCAAATGTCCCGCTCATATTGTTTCGCGAGTTATTTTTCCTAATTCAGGAAAATTTGTTGTCTTACTTATAACAAGAAAAGGATCAGGAGGAGTAACAGGATTAATAGGTATGTGAGAACTAGAAAATGCTGAATTCATTCGTTTTGCAATAATGTTTCCTCTCTATTTACAGTGGTGAAGAAATGAAGGAATTCCATCAAAAGTTCGCCGCCGATGCCCACGACCAGAGTCCCGGACGGCACGGATACTGAAGAGCAACCGTAGCCATCAAGTGCCGCGATTGCAACAGTTTTCTTTCACGAGAAGTCTCTCTCCGCCTGCTTCCGGACAAACAGAAACATAACTTCGTAGTCACATTTGTAATTATCCGGGCTTCACGCACGCCAATTGACACTCTCCGGTGTACGCGTTCAGCCAGCTTCGAGACGACAAATACATATTGGTGATGGATCTTGGCCAGAACGCCGATGTGCAAAAGTGGTTGAAAAAGTACAAGAGCGAGCGTGAGGAGCGCACGCCGACGCGCAAGACACCGCAGAGGAAGACAGCCAAGCAGGACAATAATACCTAAGTGACGGCAAAAACGTGTCCACGTTCGAACTGGGAGTCCGTGAGGATAGCGCCGAAGAGCTAAAGATGTCACCATTTTACTCGCGTGCCTAGAGGAGCTGGAAAAGCCCTTGGCGGTAGTTCCAAGCCAGAATGAACCAGAATCTCGACCAAATGCTCTCCACGGTTCTCATGATTGCCAGCAAGAGCGGCGTGCAGCCGCGTCCGGATTTACTTAGTGGAAAAAACATGCAAGAATTCTTTTGACTTTGAGTGCTCGTGAAAATTCTGTTTCTGCCGTCCAGTCAAGTGGGTGAATTTAATAGAGAAATGTTTTTTATTAAAAAGTTCTTAATTTCCTGGTTCATCTGAAGATCTTTAGCTGTTAGATAAGACAATAAATAATTGTAAAACAAAATAGGATACCTCACAGTGAGATGAAGAGAGAGAAAAAGCATGTTATTTGTTGACTCAAAAATTGAATTGAATGAAAATTTTAAATTAAAGAATTTAGTTTTGCAAATTAAACATTTTTATTAACTATATTAAAGGGGTCTTCCTAGGCCTCCCTCTCTTCCTTTTGGGAACATCAGTTTCCACTTTTTGTTCAGTCTTCTTACGATTCTCTGGCTTCTTTTTCTTGAGCTTCGATTTCAGTCGCTCCTCCTGGATCTTTTCTTCAATTCACGCTTCTCCTCCTGGATCTTCTTCTTCAAATCCTGCTTCTCCTCCTTCATCTTCTTCTTCAAATCCTGCTTCTCCTTCTTAAGATTCCTCTTCATCACCTGCTCCTCCTTCTTCAGATTCCTCTTCATCACCTGCTCCTCCTTCTTCAGATTCCTCTTCATCACCTGCTCCTCCTTCTTCTTCATCTCTGGTGATCCAGTCAGAATCGCTGAAGACACTTGCCGGGTAAATTTTGCTGATTTCTGAACAGCCTGTGGATTCGGCAATGGCCGATGAAGCTCTACTCCGCCAAATCTTAGCTGGCTGTATGGCGGCACTGACGGGTAAGTGAGGTCCAGAGGACCGCCAATCATGGAGTGTAGCCTCTTGTTAATGTTTGGGATCTCATGAATATCTTCTCTGGCCCCTCGGCTGAAATCAAGCGCCTCGTCCTCAGATCTCATCAGAACGGAATCACTGTTCAGGTGAGGAGAAGAGTTCGATTGATCTTTGGCAATTACAAAATCCTCCAAATCACCCGGGGGAGGCGTTGATGAAATATATATATCCTCCTCAATGTCCTGTTCAGTTGGAAGTTGTTGACTACAGGGTGGCATCAGAAACGGCAAGTCGAATTCTTCATCAGTCACTGAATCACCAAAATTGATTGGACGAATATCGTCCGATGCTGTCGATGACTCAAATGGCATCTGTGGCGTCTTCGCTGCAGTGTTTCGTGAAGCATTTTCCATCGGGGATTCGATGCATTCCATTAACTTCGACCTGTCCAATGGATGCACTCCGCATTTTGCAAATCCCTTGCAGATATTGTGAGTGGAAAAGCTCTTCACGATGGAGCTTGCGGAAATACGCACAATATTGTGCAATGTGATCTTCTGTCCAGCATTTTCCGTGATCCAGTCATTAAAAGCAGTCTTGCAATAAGACTTAAATGGGCCGAACACACTGATATCCAATGGCTGAGTCTTGTGACTCGTGTGTGGCGGCAGTGTCAGCATATGAATACCATTCTCCCGACACTTCTTGATCGCATCCAGACTTGTGTGGGAAGCGTGATTGTCCAGAATGAGGAGGATGGGGTCCTCCTTGGATGGTGCGGCATGGACAAGGATGTGATCGAGCGTCTTCAAAAAGTTTTCTGTGTCCATATATGAGGATGAACTCGAGTTTTGGCTGTGAAGGCCAATCGCCCCGGACGGGGCACCCTCCATGAAGACGCTCTGAAGCCGCTTCCTTGGAAACAAATACACTGGAGGCATGTAGCCTCCAGATGCATTAACAATTCCCACGATGGACACCATTACTCCTCGCTCTCCGGACACACACTGACCGACTTGTCGGGCATTGGTCGGAGCCACAACTCTCGGCGCTTGCAGGACAGTGCTCAAGCCAGTCTCATCGAGATTCCAAATTCTGCATGGCGCAAAGGAGTGCTGCTTCAATAGAGATTCGAGGTTATCATAAAAGATACTCAGATTTTCTCTGTTGAAGCTAATATTTCTGGCCAAAGATGTATTTTCGGGTTTGCGCAGTGAAATTTGTCTGAAATAATAAAACCAAAAATCATTTAGTTGATTTAGTTTAGTGCGAATAAAGCGAATTTATTACCGATGCCTTTTGAGGAAGCCAGCGATCCAATCTCTACCTGCCTTTTTCTCCCGCTCCCAGTTTGGCGGGCATCGTCGCTGCAGAAATTTGGCGTGCTCATACGCCAACTTTTGCGTCGCCTCCAACGTGAGCCCAAAGCTCAGCTTTGAGCACACAATGAGGTATTCCTCGAGATTTCGCTCCTCATGGGACGAGAAGACTTGGCGCGACGCAAATTTGGAGATCATCCCGGTTTTTTTGAGGCCCGTTCGGGTAGGCTCAGAGGCGTCGCCCCACGCGTCGCCCATTGCCTCAATTGCTCTCTTTTTAACCGAATGCATCGTTGTGTATGGTATTCCGTACTTCTCGGAGGCGGCTTTCATCGTTAATCCCCGGAATCTGATGTCCGCGAGCGCTTCACGGATCAGCTCCTCGCTGGCTCTCAATCTTTGCGTTTTGTGCTTGTAGATCCGCATTTTCCGTTAGAGGAAATAACAAAGAGGTGACAACTTGCACCGCACACCACAATTTTGCAAGTTATTGCACTATTTTTCCACTATTTCACCACAAGGAAAATTTTGGTTCACTTCCAACTGCGGCACGAAAGTGAGGTTATGTCACATAGCGCGAATCGCTCAAGTGTTGCCACATCGAATCCGAAACTGCCCCGTGTGCAGTGTTTGTGCATTTTCCACCACCCACTGAAAAGGCCGTGATCAGGAGGAAAAGTTCGGGCATATTTAGAATCTCTACTTAATTCTCAATATCCCGTGTAAGAGTTTCACGCGAATTGTGGCTTTTTTAATGGAGAAAACACGCAATCAATTCGGCAGCAAAATTCTAGTTTGTGAGTGATTTTCAATTTTCACTTATTTTATCTAAACAACAAAAGCAATCCTGAGCAAATTTTCGTCAATTGTAGTCCTTAAGGACACAAACATTGTGTGAAGACCAGGAATTTATTCATGTAAAAATCTCTGAGAAAATTAAGAAATCTGAAGCTGCCCCAATCTGAAGCTGCCCCATTTACCCCTAAATAATAAAATTAATTGAATATTTTATTAAGTAAAAATTGCAAAATAAACAAATTTTGAATAAAATAATCCAAAAATCGATTATTTTCTGAAATAAAATTGAGAAATAATCAAATTTTGAATAAAATAATAGGAAAAAATGATTTTTTATTATTAGTAAAATTGCAAAATATTCAAATTTTGAATTTGAAAATTAAAAAAAGTTTTTTCTTCATTTTTATTATTAGTAAAAGTGCAAAATAATCAAATTCAGGAAATAATCAAAAAGATAATCCGAATTTGTATAAAAAAAATCAATTTTAAATGAAATATTCAGAAAATTGTCAAATTTTAATAAAATATTCAGAAAATAATCAGAATTTTGTATGAAATAATCAAAATTTCAAATAAATTCACAAAAAATATTCAAAAAGATTGAATTAATGCTCTCAACTGGCGATTGATTGACCCCTTTGCTGATTTTTTGACATGTCTTCTCATGAGAAAATAACCTTTGTTAAGCAATTGTCCTTTCACTTTTCCCTCTGTTTCTTTTTATTTCTTACTGCTGCTCGATGAATTAATTGTCTTGACACCTCCGGAGAGTGGTGCGTCAATCTCATCCATCTGCACACAAGTGATGGATGAGATTGTGATGGGGGTAAAAGTGGCTTCTTCAGTTGGAATTTTTGGCGGGAAAACAAGTGACTTCCTGAGATTAGCACAACAGCGAAGAGACGCCACGGAGTGTGACAAAATGGTGACAATTTAAACGTAGGCATCAATTTCTGTGCGAAAACGTGTCACTCTTTGTCATGCAACGCCGCCAAACACACCATCCATTAATTATCCAGCGAGACGAGCTTCTGTTGGCACGCCATCTTGGCCGCGGTGCCGCGGGGCGCGCGAAAGGGCGCTCCATTGGCGCACAATTGACATGGGCATGCAGAAGTGGGTCAGGGAGAGTTCTGCTTGAAGCCAAGGGGGAGATAATATGTACATAGATTTATCACATGAAATCTGTGCACTTTCACCACATCTTTTCAAATCAATCAGACAAAAAGTCGTTCTTGGACTTCTTTGAGAGAGATTTCTACATAAGATTTCCATGGAAAATCGTGGTATTATGAATGAGAAAAGAGAGAGAAAATGGCTGATATGTTTGGAAACTTTTTCTTTATGATTTAGTTAGATTTTCAACAGATATTTTTATCCCAAGGAGGAGATAATATGCCTCAAATATGTACACCACTTCCTGGACACTTTCAGCAATTTGTATGAAAAATCCTTAACACTTCCAGAACATCAGCATTGATTTTAACACACATTTTCCTTATTTACTTCACAATTTTCGGAAGTTTTTATGCTTTTCCAATGGCCTAAAAGTATCATAACCTCAAATTTAGGAGTCTTCGTTCCAAAAAGACGCCTTTTTTCCACCTTTATTGCCCTCAAAACTTAGAGAGAAAGAGTATTTGAAAAATATTTGATGTTTTCAGTAGATATTTTGATGTATTTTGTTAACATAACCTAGAAATTATCTTGAAATATCGAAAAGAATCTTTGAAAAACATCCTTTCGAAACATTTCAAAGCCAAGACAAATCGTCAATGATCTAAAATTTGCCAATTTAGAATAGAAAATTAATCAAACTGCTCCTAAAAAAGACAATTTTCTATCCTGAAACAGTTTTTTGAGGTTATGAAGCAATTTTAGGCGGAATTAACATCAGTTTTGAACTGAAAGTTTGTGATTTTTAACAAGATTTCATCATTATTGTGTCAGTAAATTGAAAATTTGTATTAATTCAAGATTATTTAGATGGCAAAGTTTGTCTTAAATTCCATAACATAACCTAGAAATATTTGAAAAACAATATTTTTCTTTAATTATTGGGTAAATTTCTTGTTGCGAGTGTCTTTTCAACAAGCGTGAATTAGAAAAGCTCCTTAAAAACTCCTTTCGTTATCAATTTCGAGGTGGTGAAGTCCTGATAAGCCGTGATTCTGACTGACCACACGTCCAGGAAGTGACTCAGGTGCAGAGATAGAGATTTCCTGCGCGAACATCACGTCTTAAAGAGAAAAAAGGACGCCACAGACCTTCCGCGAGCCGGATAAGGACTCTAAACAGGCTTCTTGGTCTCATTATAGGTAAATCAAAGACAGTTGCACAACCTCTGAGACGCTGGTGGAGAAGAAACTCACGTGGCATTTGTGCTCAAATAGATAATTCATATACAACTGGTCCTTCGAGCCGGATTAAGGCTCTGAACAGGCTTCTAATAGTTGGTCTCCATTATAGGTAATCCACAGAATCTATTTCAAGTTGCTCTTCTAAATAGTTTTTTTTTTCTTAATACAACCCTTAAATTATTCAAAAATCTTTTAAAACCCCTTCAGACTCCCTTTAGAAAAGACCTAAAATATATATAACAATATAATTATAACAAATTTTAAGAATTTCATATCTTCTTAAAGTGTTTGGTGTGATTAATCAATAGATTTCCAAATACTTCAACTTCCTAACACTTCTTTACATCAACTCCTGTGCAGAATCTGCAGATTATATCTCCTCCTTGGCCGCGGCAAGTCCAGTAGCCCTTGAGAGACGCTTCGTGATGAAAACCACCGCATAATTGGGCCCCTTTTGCGGATCCTTCCGAGAAGAATTTGCCCACAAGATTGAATTTATTAGTCGTGGCGCCATTTCGTCAAGGTAAAACCCATCATTTCGCGGGGCGCAGCGTTTGACAAAAGTCCAACACCGCGAAGCCATATTTCATTTAATTAGGAGTCCATTGTGTTTTTGTCCACGCACGCACGCACGCAATAGACGGATTTCGGGTGGGTTTTTGTTCGTCAATTGCGCCAGAGAAAGTGCGCGCGCTCAGCAATTGACATTTTTGCCTTCTTATGGGAAAGTTTTCTCTTCTTCCTATTTCCCAAGGGAGAGTTAATACGGCAAAACAGTGTACAAAACACTTTCAAAACACTTCAACAATTGCCTCGGCAGAATCTTCAAACACTTCCACAGACACTTCTTGGCACTCTTAACAATTCATTTTCCGAGAAATCACCGAGAAAAGAGGTTAAAATGACATTTTTGAGGTTATGTTTGACTTTTAGGCTTTTTCTCAATCAATATGAAGTTTTTTGCGCACAAAAATGCTCAAATCTGCCAAGAAATAGAGAAATTTTGACAATTTAATCTGTTTTTCAATTAAACATAACTTCAAAAAAGCAATTAAATTGATTTTTAAGCAAAATTTAGTTGGAAAATGACTCAATTTGGTTGAAATTGAAGCTTTTTCAGTGCAAATTTTATAAAATATTTTGTCACTTTCACTTCTTAACACTTCCTCTCAAGCTGTACACCACTTCCGACCATAATATCTCCCCCTTGCTTATTTTTCCCTTCGTGTGTGAGATTTGAAAAGGCATAAATTAGATGAAAGTTTTGGTGGAAATGTTGAGGAATTTTAATGATATTCAAGTGCTGTGGAAGTTATGCTTGGCATAAATTCACTGTTCTTTTTCTTTTTTCTCTCTCGCAAGATTACGTTAAGAAAAAAAGATAAAGTATTGCTGCTTTTATTGCAAAACTGTAAATAAATTTACTCAGTGAATTCATTGATCTTTATGACCTGCAATCAACCTTTCTTGATTTGCTCAGACAATGTTGAATTCTCTTCTTTCTCCCTCTTCAAAATCACCGAATTGACCTGTGCGAAACACGCAGCAAAAATCAAATGTCGCAGAATCGAATAAAATGACACGAGGGAGGCTAAATATGACGAAATCTAACGAAAAAAGGGGGGTCGTTTTTTTATTTCCATCTGTTTGTCGGTCGGTCCCTCGTAAATGAACTTCTGTAGCGCTTAAATGGTAATCGGACCTTTCCGTCCGCCATTTTGAAAATCCCAAAAAAACATTTTACTCGATTGTTCAGCCTCTATGTCATGGATCGGCTTCAAATTTTAATATGTTATAGCTAGCCTCAAGACCTTTCCAACGAACCACCACCTAAGAACCTAGGACCTTCCAGACCCCAGATATTCAGGATCAAAATTTGAAACTTTAAACAGCTACAGCTCCGCTTCTAATCATCCGATCTGAATAATTTAAAGCTCATTAGAAAGATCTCATAAAATTCAATCTTTTATCCAAACATCATAACTTGATATAGCTACCGCTAGAGGCGCTAAAGACAAAAAAGCCATTTTTGAAATCTCGAAATCAAATAACTCGAAAACCAGACTGTGAATTTTCTTGAAATCTTAGTATGTTATAGCTGAGATTGAGACCTTTCCAACGATACCTTACTTGTAAGGCTTGATGTTTTGAGAGCGGAGATATAAAAGGTCAAAGTTCACACTTTTACCAGTCAATATCTCTGGCTGTTTATCAACCGATTTTGATCAAATCTTCACCAAAAGACGTGTCTCGACGTCCTTTAGTAGG